TATATGACTCTACAATAAATTAAAAAAATCCTCTATTGTCTTTCGATGAATCTTGCATTGAATAGAACACTATACTTCATTACAATTATCGCTTAATATTAATTTATTGCTTTCTTTTTGCTTACCTAATTTAGTCGCTAATGAAACGCCGATAATGGCATTCATGACCTAATTACGTAAAATATCTCTCCATTGGCCATTCCAATTCATATTCTTTCAAACATTTTCAGAGTCGTTTTATAAACCATGCGGAAAATCGATCGTGCAAAATCTTAACGAGCATTCATACAGTTTTATCGACGGGATGTAATTAAGCTTGCCTCGTGACACCCGGAAGTGGAGAATAGGAAGATAGATGACGAGTGCGACTAGTCGCGGAAAGGAAGGAGCTATTGCAAAATTCTGTTGCTTTCAGCGATTCGAGAGAAGGTAAATTACTAAAGAGCGAACACTCGAGATGAAAAGAGAGAGAGGAAGAGGAAGTCGTGGTGACGATGGCAGCCGCGCGTGAGATCTACTTATCCAATCTGACTTATTCAGCGTCATTCAGGCTGATATAAACGCGAATCGCGCGCATAATATCGAAATCGACGCATTTGTCGACAGCTCCGGTTCCGTTTACCGTGACAAGAGTGACAAAGAGATTTACGAGAACGAGATTAATCAAACGATTCGCGGGCGCACTTTTTCGATAGCTCGGCCAAATTAATCCTAGAGAGAATTGAAAAAATTACATTTGTAAACCTTAATTTTCTTTCAATCTTAATTATGCAGGGTACATCAGAGGAGACTGCGACCTAGGTGTGCTTAGTGCAGATAAATAAATGTCAGATAAGGATCAATCAATTTTACTTTTAACCCCCGCGATTAATAATTAATTCCCTCTTGAAAACTCTGCCAAATTTATTCCTTGCATAATTTCACGTGTTAAATGTAATTATTACGCTACAGTTGGCTTTCCGATAAAAACAATGCAACGCGATGCGCAAACAAAAGAAAAAAATTTCTATTTTGACGACGAAACTATAACCGCGGTGGGCAATATAAATCGTTAATGGACACCTCCGGGCAGTTCGGTGCAAACGCCGATAAATTTGCATGTTTAACAGGAAAGGACCATTACACAAGTTCGCGATCGTTTTCTGATTATTTCCGAGCCGCGAAAATTGGTTGAATTTGTTTGATTGTTTTTCTCTATACGGGGGAAAATAACAAAAATTACAATTGTAACATGTATTCCCATGTGATATCTTATGCGTAGAGCGTAATTATTCTTTTCCAAATCCAAATTAATGAACTTTGTTTACACGTTTTATGTATCTTCGTTATCAAGGCTAAAGCTCTTATTTATTTCTGTTTACCGTTTTATTTATTAACTCGTGCGAAAAAGATAAATTTTCTGAAAAGTCTTGGCAGTTTTAAGGGCCAAATATGCGTTGCTAGAATCACGAAATATACGGGCGAGAATTACGCGGAAACGGGACGCGCGGGAAAAAAGGGTGCCCGAAAGAAAAATAGACGGGAGAAAAGAGAGCGGAAACTTCCGCCGAAATTCTGCCCCACGTCCCTTCGGTTGTTTATATTCCGTTCTTACTCTCGCAGCCCTTAGCAGCCGCGGCAGATCGCTTCTCTTTGCTCCACTTCGTACGGTCGTTCGCTTTTATTTTATTTTACCCGGACTTTGTTCTTACGATCCGGCCGCGCTCGAGCGAATTGAAAGCGGAAATTGCGAGATCCCCGCGCGATCCCTGCTTATTAAAAGCGACGAAAAGGCGGATATTAGCCACGTCAAGACTCGCTTCTATATTCTCCATGGCAATACACGTAATTGCTGGCTTTAAACATTCTCAGTCAAAGTTGGTACCGAGCTGGGCCCCAATCAGTTTTCGCTCGATATCTCGATACATTTGACTTGAGAGCAGCCAGAGATTCCGTAATTCCGATACGTTGATATTTTGCCCTTTTTATAGCTTTAAAGCTTTTGATTATACTATTTAACTACTTCAAAAAGTTTTTATCAAGAAACAAATTATAAGTTTATTTCGAAATAGCAGATAAGTCAATTTTGAAACACACTAACGTGTAAGCCATCGTTATTTGCATTTTAATAATGACTATGAGCGGAAAGAATTATAATTAAAATAATAAAATAATTATATTCAGAGTTAAATAATTATATATGAAATAGCAGAATTACACAGCAGGCCATATAATACGTTGCAAAAAAACTGCGTTTTAATTAGAGCGAGATATAACCATTATAGTATAGCATCAGTTATATGTGCGCTATAATGTACCGCAGCATAAAATACTAAATAACGACTATTTCACTGATCGGACTGCAAAAGCGGATCTCGCTACTCCGTAATGCAACTCGATGATTCGTGAAACATTATTAAAGGCCAGTAAACTCGACCATGGTGCACGTTTGATTGGGCGCCGCGGTAACGAGTCGACAGAGAGAAAGAGAGAGAGAAACACTAGCGGAACCGACACTGCGAAATGCGAACGTAATCATGCGAGTCTGATCGGCGAGCGGGCGAATAATCGCGCTAGTCGCGAAGATTTATATCGCGAATTGTATTTCCAGCTTTATACACATACTTCATTGCCGCGGGGATAGATTTTCCGTTGAAAAGCTGTGTTCGATTTCACTGTACGGTCGCTAACGTACGCCCGCAATCCTATGTAAAAATTAATTAACGCAGAAAACTTTGGAAAAATGGTTGGCTTGCTAACATAAAATTCTGTATTTTTTTCAACGCTCGTATTACTTTCATTCAAGTCGAGGTAGCAGTAAAAATACGTACTTTCGAGCTAGAAATTATACTGGAGAAAACAATTACAAAGTTTCACGAGTTAATCCAGAAAATGTGAAGAACGAGTTATATGTATTACTGAATCGACAAAATAGGAAAAACTTAGCATTTTAATCTTTTAAAAGCTATTCTATAATATATCATAAGAATTACATAGACATCCGTTTAAATTACTGTTTAAATTAAATTAAGTTAAATATAAACTCTGTGCATACTACTTCTGAAATTAAATTGAAAGAAACTAATTTAATAGATTAAATATCGTTTCTTCTCTTCAAAGATTACTACTTGGAAGATTAACATTTATTCTTGCACAACGTCATTTGTAGATTCGACGGATTCGGCGATCAAAATGTAATATAGTTCCAAAAACTGGATTATTGCGCGTTGACTTGGCTCTATTATTGGAAACGAGGATGGAAATAAAAAAGACCAGAATAAACGAACGGACATTAATCGCGAGTTTGTTGCGTCACTCTCGATCCGCACCGGAACGAAGGATTGGAAGGATAAGGTGGATGTTCATCTGAATCTCGATATTCCCGTTTACGTGGCTGGAATGCAATTCCGCGGGATCCGATAAAATCGCGCTTCCATATCTCCCTCTTCTCTTCCTCGAAGGGTAAATTGTCTCTGCCGACTGTTCCGTTGTTCCGGGACGGCGAATCAAGAAGTTTTGGCAACGAGCTATCTCGCGGTAACTTGAAAAGGAGAGAGAGGGTGGTCGATTGTAGAGAGAAGTTCTTCCAACTCTTCGTCCTTTCGATTTCGCTGTATGTTCTTCTCATCTTACTACCCTTCCCTTCTTGAAAGGGGAAGAAAGCGCACTCTTGCTGACAGACGGCAATTTGCGACATATCGTAATTTTGATGGAAATATACGGTTAACGCGGAATATCTGGGATGCCAGCGAAACCGTTGCCAAGGGAACTTTGCAGACGCCGGCAAGTAGTAATGAAGAAGCGAAACGGTTTGTGTTGATAAAGCGAAATATTTGCCTCGGTACGTGATTCTGTTGGATTTATAGCGAGATAGCGAAATTTCACGTGGCTTTCCAAGATATTTGTTATTTTAGGAGAATTTTCCACAAAGCTATTATTAAACTCAAGATGGCAAACAATGAGAGAATAATGTGTAACATTTATTATAATCTCTATTTTCGAGTAAAGTGAAAGAGTAAAAGAGTAATAATAAAATGTAAGAAATTAAAAAAATTGATTTCTATTATCGAGAAATAATAATTTACGATTACAAATAGATTCATTTATATGTCAAAAGTACTTTCTCATGCTCTTAATTTTTTTAATCTGGGCAAGAAAAATTTCTCGCAACTTGTTCGTTACATTTCTAACAAACTGCCAAGAGAAAGAAAAACAAACTTACACATTTTCCGTGAGATATGTGTATCAATTAAAGAACCATTTATCCACGTTCGCGATATAGAAAATCCTCAGAATGACGGATGCTTACATCGCGTGCGAGAGATTTGCAGGAGTAGGAGAGGAAAGACATACTTCCTCCTTCTTCGTCGCGCACGCGAGAGAAGAAAAAGCGCTTTCTCAGTTCCGTTTCAATATTTCGGTCACATAGCTGAGGAGGAGAGGTTTGGGAAAGCCGCGCGAAGGACGGAAACCAGATCACGGGGGTGGGACGCGAACGGTGGAAGAAGATAGAGTTTTTTTTTTCGCGAAGGATACGTTCGATAGGAAGACGTCCTCTTTCCTCCGCAAAGAATCTCGCCCCAGCAAATCTTCCCGAGAAACCTCGAACTCGTCGAAGGCGCCGCGAAAAAGTCCCGACGAAGCCTTTTCCCGATCCTGTCTACTTTACTCGAGAATGCGCTATAGCGAGCTTACTCTCTATCGACATTCTGCGTTTTATTATCTTATACCGAGAGGAAAAAAAGTTGTTCGGAAAAAACAAAATTTGTTCGATTGGAAATAGAATCAACAAATCACATAATTAATGTGATATTTTTAAAACAATTTAAACATTATAATATCATAGCAATTGTATCCAAAATTCTGTTGATATATGTTTAATGGTTATATTTAATTTGCGGTATTGTTTAATTTAATTTAATATTTTAGAAAACTGCCTCTTTTTACAAAAATAAAATCTTTGTTGTGCAATATTTACGATGTGACGCATACATTTGAAACAAATTTTTGAAAAAAAGAAAATGAAACATTCAAAAGTCGACTCACCGTTTGTGTCGCAGGTCCTTCTGTTCCCCGAGGAAGGCTGGGCGAGAAGTGCAAGTAGTTCCTACTGGACCTTGACGCCTTTCTGGTGGAGTCGGAGTCGGTGCAAGGTCGTCGAAGTCGCTGGAACGAGAAGGTAAGCGAGCTGTTAAAAAAAAACTTACGTTTCGCATTGTAAAATTAAAAATATTAATCCGTTCCAAAAATTTAAAGATATCAATATATTCCTGCTTAAACATCTTGTGTTTTATTCGATAATTTCGCATAATATTGTCGCAATGTAGTCAATATTTCTTATCGGTTTATTTATACCCGGTGATTATCGTCGATATCCACGTTTACGACGCGTCCTGAATTCTAACGGTCCAGAATGCGCATCGCGTTATCCTTGCGCCGAGATAACGAGCTCGAGAACAAACCGTATACGTAAAGTGGATAAAGGCGAATAGCGAACGGAGACGGAATACCGTATAACGGGGTAAGACGAGATTTTCCTCTTCCCCCGTCGTACCACTTTGGGAAACTAGAGCTCGTCCAACTTTCCAGCGTCCATAGATTTCGGCGCCGTTAAGGTCGCTGGTCGCGGCGGTCGAAGCCGATAAGAAGCTCACGATTTATAGCGATCCGTTCGATCGAGCGCACAAGAGAAAAGACGCCCCCATTGTCTTCTCTCGCGAATACTGAAAGCCATGATAAATTTCGAGACAAATCGGCAAGCAGGTTTCAAACCACGCGATAAAATCGCGCGCTTTACAACGCTCGATGTCGAATGTTGTATTTTTGATCTTGTGAGAATGTCCTACATTTTCTCCTCGCGAAAAAATTGCACGATATTTCTCTGCTAATGTTTATTTTAATTGCATGCTAATTAATATTAATAAGAGAATAAAAGAAGATATTTAAATATCTCGATTCTAGATTATATTAATGATGAAATATATGTGTCACTATTATTAGCACAAAAAAGATAATTTTTATTTTTATCTTTTCATTTTATAAAATCTCTTATATATATAACAATTTCCATTATTTCGAAACAAGAAATAATGCGGAAAATATTTTTTAGAAAAGTACTCAAATTGCACGTTGATATTAAAAAAGAAACTTTATATACATTAACTTATAACTTTCCTGAAGCTTGATTATCCTTTCCTAAAATAGAATATTTAGAGAATTTGTATCGAAACTTCACTATAACCATACCGCAAGTCTTATGTCGATTAATGCATGGTCAAAGTTGGCTTCGGGGCATCCTTAGCATGGTACATCGAGCATATACGTCTTCGCAAGATTGAACGGACTTTGCGGAGGCGACCAAACTTGCCTAAATATCCCTCGGCTACTGCGGAGTGTCTGCATTTCCGTCTTCCCACTGAAATGAAGTCGAGTTACTAGAGACATTGCGATCTCAGCAAACACCCGATGTATAAAAGCAGTGAATCGTGGACATATGTATATTTTGCGTTATCTTTTCTCTTTCTCTTTCTCTCTCTCTCTCTCTGTGTGTGTGTGTGTGTGTTGTGTGTGTATATGTAACGAAATGCCGAAGACAAACTATATTTTCCCCCTTCACATATCCTTTGACAGACTTCGGTTTACTCTCGGTTCGATTCTCGAGCGAGCGAAACTCGATTTCGATCTCCAAGATAGTTGCTTGGCCAACACAAATCTCTTCTCTATTGAAATTTCAAGATAGTTTACATCGAAGTCTACCGACATCTCAAAGATCGTTATTCGGATTTTCAATCGTTGCTTGGTCAACAAAAATCTTCATGGTTAAAGCATCAAGATATCTATATCTAAGTCGATTCGAATCTCGAAGACCGCTACTTTATTCCAAACTCCAATCGCTACCTGGTCAACAAAAGTTTGCCAAACTCAATGTTGGAACAGCGGGACTTGGTTACATTGGGATCGATCCGACCCCCGAAGATCGCTATTTTATGCCGATCCTCGTCGTTGCTTGGTCAACAAAAGCTTTTACGACAGGTTGAAATGCGACGACAGTACGTACCAGGCCGTTGGTCGAGAAAATCTCGCCCATTTATCTTCATCGGGGACTTCGACCTTCGATGCAATCGATTGCAACCAAATCCAAACCGATCGAGAATACTCGACAGATGTGTCGCGGTGAGCGCTATCAATTCATCGATAATGAACCAATGCATACTCCAGAAGTAAACAATATCTCGAGAGTATCGATACTACAATGCATACTAATTATCTATGCAATTAATATCGCTAATTGGTATACGTGATATTACTAATTGGAATTCAATCTCATCCAGTTTATTTTTCATTTTAATAAATTAATGAATATTTACATATATCAAAGCGTTCTTACATTACATTATAATTTGTTTCTTTTTAAATTAATGGACATTTATTATATATTATTATTATAAACATCCATTAGTTATAACATTTAATCTCGCTAAGTTACACAATTTTTTCTTAATTAATAGACATTTATTATATGTATATATATATATAAATGTGTACGTATTTAATGTGGCTCTCAGTTTAGTATTTTTTTCAGTTGTTATACCTATGTCAAAAGTACTTAATATTCGAGATTATCGATATCATTGCGCATTGAGAGGTCAAGGATCGAGAAATATAATCACGAGAGCGCACGTAATCGATTAGCTACTATGCACATTATCCACATAAAGCAAGCGATGTCTATATCCCTTCCTTCGGCAATTCGAATTTTCTTTTGCACGCCCTTTCCTTTCCTTTCGCGGAGAAGAGAAGTCAAAGCAACTCGGCGCGGATTTTGAGCCGAGTGTCGGATTCGCCGACGCTCACTTCAATAGGGGCCGTTTAAACTTTTAATGATCGTCGCCGGTCCTCGAGCGGCATCTTTGCCGGAATAAGCCCCTCGAGTCGACCGTGCGGATGTTGGTGAGTTCTACTGCCCTTTCTCTCCTCCCTCTCCTTCCGCCCCTATCTTTTATTCTTCTCTTTATCTTTCTTTGTGGGGAAAAACTGTCTCTCTTCTCGGACACTTACAGAGTCTTTACCAACAACTTTTATAATGCTTATTATTTTTATTTTTATAACTTGAGTGCATATAATCAATTTGAACATTATGTGAAAGAATATCTTTTAAAATAAAAAATATGATATCTATAATAAATAAAATGTACAATACTTTCGCATATATAAATATATTCTTCAAAAATGAAAAAAGAAATATAACTTTCGATAAATATGTCATAAGTAGAATCGAATACTATTTTATAGAATACTATTTTTGACGAGGATTTGAAAGAAAAATAATATTAATAATAAATTCTCGATTGAGAAAAAATTGTTTGTATAAAAACATACAAATAATATATATGTATGCTCACTTTATTAACATTATTAATATAAGAATATTATTATAAAAACCGTCTTCTTATTGAAATGATTAAAATTATAGGAAAAATTATTTGCGTATCTCTCTCTCTCTCTCAGTAAAAATTTGGCAGAAAATTCGTTGTAAAATACTATAATGGAATGTACTTTATCGTATATACTATCTCTTCTCTCTATCATTAAAGGGGCAGCCCAACATCTTTCGTCACCAGTCGAGCGGAATTCCCCCTAGTTTTCCCCATTCTCTCCCTCCGCAATTTCCCCCTCGTTCATCGCTTCGATGAAGATCGTAGTCTAAAGACATGGGCACGTAACTAACGACGATCGTCAATTAACCTAACAATGCGCATTCAAAGTGATCAGGTGGCCCTCAAAAGTCTCAAATCGGCATTTAAGGTTCAATTACATCAAAGGTCTCCACCATCTAAAAATAATTGTAATTCCGCACGCATTTTGACAAAATCAATAATTTTTTTCGATCATTACAGTAATACAAAATTATAAGAACTTCACGAGAAGAGACAAAAAATAATAGAATTGAAAAATGTCAAATAGCTTCTCTTTCTCTCTACAAAAAGTGAAATAATACAAACAGCTTTCGCGAACATTTACAAGAGGATAGCAACCGGTAAGATCGCTTCCTTACGAGCGCTTTTTGTACGCATACACAATGGCTCGCCACCCCTGCTTGAATAAGAATATCGAGGATGTGCGCTTGAGGGTCGATTCTCTCCTCGAGAGTTACATCGAAAACGTTAAAACGAAAAGGGGGCGAGCTAAGACGACGAATTGATAGCTCTTTGCTTATACTCGGCGTATCAAAATCGATTGTACTTTCTTCGATATTTTCTTTCATTCCATACATATATAAAATGTCTGAGATATTTTTACAGTGTTCCTTTTATCTAGGTTCTTCTACTAACTTAAATTTGAAATTTTAATCGCGCTATTATAATATTTTAATCCGCAATGTAATTGTGTTTCAGGTACAGTACTCAAGCAAAGATGGTAGACACGGGCACGGGAACGCTTTACATTATCGGTTCGTTCAAGAGGATGACGACCGATCCCGATTTTAAGGTACAAAATTATATATATGTATAATTAGATTTATTAAATTAATTCTTTAATTACTTTATACTCTTTGTTAATTTCCGATTTAGTTTTTTTATCTTTGATCTGCTTATCAAAAAATAATCCGTAAAAAAGATGTGCCACCTTCTAATTCGTAAACCTTCAGAAATGCTGTATCTTATATCGTATCGTTCGTAAATTTCAGCAAAGTTTGTTCATTGGCTCCCGTTAATTATAAATAAACTCGCGGGGCAAGCTTGTCGTAAGCAGAGAAATAACCTTTAACCTTTTCCCAAAAATTACACTATGCTATATTTTTCTATACTTTCATCATTTCACCTTGATCTAAAATTAGAATCCCCCCCC